CCACATGGTCATTTTTTTTCTGTTTCATTTTGAAGTTAGGTGAAATAACTGTGCTCTTTGAGTCTCACTCACTCCACCCACCACACACTCACCCACCCACCTCATTCACTGACCCCACCTCACCTCACTCACCCCACCCACCTCACTCACTCACTGGCTGGGCTCACTCACTCATTCACTGACTGCCCAGCCCTTCTTTTAACTATAATAATTGCTCTTACCACATGGTCATTTTTTTCTATTTCATTTTGAAGTTAGGTGAAATAACTGTGCTCTTTGAGTCTCACTCACTCGCCTCACTCGCTCACTCCCACCCACCTCATTCACTCACTCCCCCACCCACCTCACTCCCCCACTCACTCACTCACTCACTCATGTGCACCTCACTTTATCTCACTTTACCAACTTCATACAAGAAGCTGTACAAGTGATCCATATAAACACTAACAGTATCACACTCCAACGGGTACGTCAAACAAGGGAGATAACTCTAGAAATTGCAGTTTCCTTCCACTTAGCGTACAGCATTACAGAAGTTGCTAGACTGCCATAACACGTGAAGGGCAAGAATGTGGCCAAGCGCTGGCAACTTTAGCTGCAAGAAAATGGTGAGGATAAAAAGCAATATTGGATGCTCATTGCAGCTCCGTACAGTGTCTTGTGTGGCAGAGTCGAATGAACAGCCCCCAAGTGCATTATGAGATGTGTTCTGAAGGAGTGTTTGTATGCTTCACAACTTGGATTGAGATTATGCATGGTTTTTATCACAAGCTCACTTCATCAATGCAGGTAATGTTTAAGTTCAGACAGTACAGGCCTCCACTAGTTTGTAAAGTGATCAAATTCTTGATACCACGCAGACCATTTTTATATGTCAGGATATTGTGAATACTCTTATTTCATGGAGATTTATGGCTTCTTTGATGATTGGACGGCTCCAACACTTCGGTGCACTTTTTGAGTGGACACAGTTGTTATGAATGAACTGTTACAGCGGTGTATTTTGATAATGTTCTTGCACTCTCATTGTGTGTCGGCGAGGAGTTCATCCTTTTCTTGGGAGATTATTTTGGCAGCTGTTTGGGGAATGTTTGCCGAAGACTTTATTACAACAGCTTACACAAGGAATGCACCTTGTGGTAGAACTGCGTGTGAATGACAGGCTTGATGCATGTGGAAATGCTTTCTAGAGGTATATTTTTGATGCTTGCAGTGTTTATACCAGAGGCTCTCAGTGCCGATAATTCCTTATTAATATTTCACTAGGTGATTCTATATTTATTTGTGCAAACCTGTTTCAATACTGAGAGAACAATTACCTTTTTATAAGGACTGGCGAGGTAAATACATTATTTGTATATGTGTGTCTCATGTATGTTTTTGTCATTGATATAATGGATAGATAAGTGGGTATATTTTATTGATTTCAGGAAACTATATGTTGATGCATTAAATTACCATTGTGTCAGTGTTTTACAACAAGAAGATACTGTATTTGTCCCCATCGAGCACAGATATGGATAATGTGTGCAGATAACAAAAGGTGTTTGTGTTTGAATAATTAGAAAGTCTCCTTATCCAGGGATGAGAATGGGTAGGAGTGAAAATACAGGAAAATGAGCCGGGGATCTTGGGGTTCGCAGATCCAAGAATGACCCAAGTGTGAATTCTGTTGAATTCCGTGGATCTGCAGAAAATACTCATTCCTGCCTATCCAGGTACCTGTCAATACTGTAAACGAGTATATTTCACAAGAGGTTTTATTTTTCGCTAAAAAAACATTTTAGCGAAAATTTATACACCGCTAATAAACCTGTCATTCATTCAGTCTAGCCACGCCGCCTCTGAGTTGTTACCATAACACATCAAGTTTGAAGACAGAAATCTACGGAATCTTAAAATGACGACTGATAGTAGCATAAAGAATCAAACTTAACTGTCGCTGTAATGGATTTCCCAAAACATAATTAAATAATGAGCCAAATCCCATCACCAAATTAGCTTAAAACAGCAATGTGTGTTGTGGCCGCCATGGAAATTGGTCACATGACAGATGGTTTGATACAAAACAGATTACCACGAAACGACTCGAAAGAAATAATACAGCAGTATTTTATTTATTCATTTAGATACAAACGATCATCATGAAGCTTAATAGTCACTAACACTCAATCATCTCATTCACAACAACCCGCTTGTTTGAAATCACAAAGAGCTTCATATACAGTATAAGTTAATTAGTCAGATCATCAGAATTCGAACATAATACTGATGTGTTTTTCATCTCTTCCGAGTAAACGGGTTACTGTGTACTAGTATATCGCACAGATAGGGATTTCCTGTGAGTAAGTAATAAATGCCGCCTCGACAGGTTCGCCACTCTGTTTGTTTTCACTGCTATTAGTGGCGCCAAAGAGACGGCTGGCAGTTCCGCAATTACTGATTGCGCCAATAATTGACCGCTGATGTAGTCTAAACTGTCAATTCCGCCAAAATTGCACCACGCCAAAAATAAGTACGCTTTACAGTAATGTTGTGCTGTTTTCTAGCAGTATGCACGATCGGACATATTACACGACACGAGTATATTACATACTACTTTCTAGAAAATGTTTCCCTTTATGCAATGACAGGACCAGTGTGTTTGTCTAGTGAATAATTTGTCAAAGAAATATTGATTCTCATAACTAATAGATGCTCTCTGATGTATTTTAAAAATATGTGTATCAAATAGACCCTAAATCTATATTACTTTAGACTTTAGTATGGATATATTACTTTCCATGTTACTATATATAATTATGCAATTGTCAGAGCACTCTGCTGAGTAAATGCTATGTCAAACATACCTCTCATAAATGAGATTCTATTATTTTACAAATACCAACGATAAAATAAATCAACTACCTTCTGCACAACTGGGACATTGAAATATTAGTTTCCACATGACTGTTTCTAAGTATATGATCTATGGGCCATTCTGTTGTGTAAATTATTTGTCAAACATACCACATTAGTATAATATGGTACTGTTTTCACAACTGTCAAATATATCTGCTACTTTCTGCACAACTGTGATCTGAATGTGTTACTTTCCACATGACTATTTCCAAATATGTAATCACTTGGCCACTCTGCTGATTCACAGATCATGTGTCTGACAAGTGAGGTACCTACTTTAGCTATCAGAATAAAGCATTTCCACGTACTCCCAAGTCAATATGTTTGGCAAAGGCCAATATTTGGCTAAGATATAAGGATAGGATTAAAGGGCTATGCCCATGACACCGGTCGATCCAAATAATCCATTCTGAAACATGGATATGACGACCACCATTCATTTTCCACAAGTAGCATGTCTCATGTTTGAAATAAATTATTTAGTCGATTTGATTATGACACATGAGGGGTCGCGATTAATGTTGCCAGTAATTACTAAACTGGAGGCACTGATCGAGAGGGTCTGTCTGTAATGGTACCAGTTAGCAGTAACATTTGACACTTGTATTAGTAATAAGATCTGACTTCTATAAATGGTTTTATTGGCACCAATGATTGATATGGAATTTGTTTTATCTTTGCCATCCAGTAGCCTTTTTGCCTGTAGGCAGTGGGAAATCCATTTTAGTAGTGGCTGTTGGTTCTTGTACAGCACAGGTGGCCCAATTTTGCCACAGTTTTCAAAATTGTACCTGATACAATTGGCTTTTTAATACTGATTTCTTCAGCTAGTTTGCAAAAATGCCTTGGAAAAAATAAGCATATTGTATTTGAACTTGAGATGAGATCTTGACATGGTTCAATGTGGAGCTGCTCATAGACCAATCTTCGACCCAAATTTTGTAGAGAATGTCTGTAAACTACACAAATAGGAATACAAAGATAATATCTATTAACGTTCATATTATGTAAGTAGCATGATGGTTTTGTCAAACTCACCTGTATTTAACTGAAAACATGAACAAGTAGCTTGAAGCTGTTTGGTTGTAAACTATACTGCCTTGATTCAAAGTTGATGAAAATTTTCAAAATGTAAAATTTTGAACTGGAAAACACTTTCCCTGCTGTCAAAATATCGATGAAATATTGTTGTGTGTACTGCATGCTAAGCTTTGACTGGGTTTACTGATGGCATAATTCCTCAAAGAGATAAGGATTTATGCTTATGCTGTCGACCATTAGTTCATCTATCACTGGTGCAAAAACCTGCTAATCTCTAACTTGGTTGTAGGGTTTCATGTATTCATTTATTAACTGTTTATCTGTGACTTTTATTACAGTATATTATATAACGCACATATCCATGCAACTAGTACATGCTCAAGGCGCTGATATCTTTTCCCCTTGATCACTGGGTGTCAATCTCAATGGCACATCGTATTATCAATCTCAACTCCCCGGAGAGCATACAACTCTTGCAGCCACTAGGCGCACCGAGTTAGTGTGGCTTTCCCATTCTTACAAGGTACCCATTCACAGCTGGGTGGACTGGGACACATAGTCACAGTACTTTGTCCAAGTTTACTGCATGTTGCTGCACCCGCTGCAACTAGGTGTTTGCACGTATTCATGTGGCCACCATCTGGTCATATACGGATTCGTGGGTTCTTTTAAGTGCACAGGGTTGTGTACTGTACACTAGGGGTTGTGACAACACTGAAAGAGTCTGCACACAAAGTTGACTCCAAGGTTTTTACACCCGGTCACAGCTGGGCTCGATCCCGACACCTCAAGCTCGCTGGATCACTAGCCTGGCACCTTAGCCAGCTCGCCCACCATGACCTAGCAGTGTGAGTCAGTACCCCATGTGATATTGCTATAAATGCCATAGAACTGTACTCACTCACTCACTCACTCAAAATAATTTGACATTCAAAGATGAGGCACATAGATTTGTATTGTTACAAAGATTAGTTATGCCAAGAGACAGTGTGTGATTGCTTGAATCCCAGATTTACCCAGTTGTGTTTGGTGTTCACCTGAATGCATGTGCCTTATACTAAGGGACTGTTCATGATCTATGACTAAGGGGGTGATGATGATTTTTATGGAGAAGCATGTACAATGTGAATGATCCCCATAAAATTCATAAATTCATGTACAAAGTATGTCATGTAGAAATTCAGTCTCTCTCTCTTCTCTCTCTCTCTGTCTCTCTCTCTCTCTCTCTCTCTCTCTCTCTCTCTCTCTCTCTCTCTCTCTCTCTCTCTCTCTCTCTCTCTCTCTCTCTCTCTCTCTCTCTCTCTCTCTCTCTTTCTCTCTCTCTCTCATCCCAGAATTACCCAGTTGTGTTTGGTGTTCACCTGAATGCATGTGCCTTATACTAAGGGACTGTTCATGATCTATGACTAAGGGGGTGATGATGATTTTTATGGAGAAGCATGTACAATGTGAATGATCCCCATAAAATTCATAAATTCATGTACAAAGTATGTCATGTAGAAATTCAGTCTCTCTCTCTCTCTGCTTCTCTCTGTCTCTCTCTTTCTCTTTCTCCCTTACTCTCTCTCTCTCTCAGACAAACTTTTATTGACACAAGCCGTGATAAATGGCCATATACATAGTATTTTGAAATGCTATCAAGATAGCGAGAATGTAACAAATAATAAGCTTCTTATGCAGATTAAGTGTCATCGCTGAAAACCTGTATACACATATGTTGCTAAGTTTCTTTATTCTTTAACATTATATGTAGAAAATAATTGAAGAAATTTGTAAATTGAAGGTTGTTGAAAATAAAATTGCTTTGAATAATTAATTCTTAGATCACTGTTGATTGGGCATTCAATGATGAAGTGATATTCATTTTCTATTTCATCGCTGTTACATTTTATGCATCTTCTCTGACTCTGCTCTATTATGAAAGGTTCCCTAGTCTCTGAATGTACATAATTTTGAAAGAAGCAATTAATTCATTTTAATTTGAAAAGGAACCTGATTAAATTTAGACTTGCTTCATTTAGGGCTTAAGCATTACAGGGAGGGCGAGGCAACAGGGAAAATAATGTGGTTCATTGACTGTGAGTCAGACTAAGTAAGTTTTATCAGACAATAACCTCACGGTGTCACCTTTGGCTTCCTTCCCTCACCATGTCACTGAAATACTGTTCCTTGTACCTGCTAATTGTACCAGTGCATACATTTCACAGGTATTCTGAATGTTGAAGGGTCTGATACTGAGCTGAGCTAAGGTTTTACCTGCAGTCAAAGCGACCTGCAATGTTGACATTCATAATGTACATACAGTGTATTTGCTGCTGTCACTGAAGGACAAACATTTGTTGCAGCATTTCCATTCACAATTTAGGACATAGTAAAGAAGAGATTGGTTTTCTGAGTACATGTGTCAGTTGTGCCTTAGTGCATACATCAAGGCTCTCATGCAGCTGAGTGCATGCATCAAGGCTCTCATGCAGCTGAGTGCATGCATCAAGGCTCTCATGCAGTGGAGTGCATGCATCAAGGCTCTCATGCAGCTGAATGCATACATCAAGGCTCTCATGCAGCTGAGTGCATGCATCAAGGCTCTCATGCAGCTGAGTGCATGCATCAAGGCTCTCATGCAGCTGAGTGCATGCATCAAGGCTCTCATGCAGCTGAGTGCATGCATCAAGGCTCTCATGCAGCTGAGTGCATGCATCAAGGCTCTCATGCAGCTGAGTGCATGCGCCAAGGCTCTCATGCAGCTGAGTGCATGCATCAAGGCTCTCATGCAGCTGAGTGCATGCGCCAAGGCTCTCATGCAGCTGAGTGCATGCACCCGTGAAGGTTCCGGTTAGAATATTGGCCCATGCTTGGCGTAAGAGGCGACTAACGGGATCGGGTGGTCAGGCTCGCTGACTTGGTTGACACATGTCATCGGTTCCCAATTGTGCAGATCGATGCTCATGCTGTTGATCACTGGATTGTCTGGTCCAGACTCGATTATTTACAGACCGCCGCCATATAGCTTGAATATTACTGAGTGTGGCATAGAACTAAACTCGCTCACTCACTAATACCCGCTCATGGTTCTACAATAGTTAAAACTGTATGCGGCAGACAGAGAGAGACAACTGAACATGGAAAGTCTAATAATAGGCAAGAGGGAAAAAGTGGGTTTTTAGAGAAGATTTTAATGTGTCCAGAGATTCAGCATTCTTGATGTGAGTGGGCAAGTTGCTCCAGAGACTGGCAGCTGCCTGTTGGAATGATCTTTTCCCATAGGATGAGAGTCGAACTTTAGGCATGACAAGTAGCCTGTGATTCTTGGATCGTAATGGTCGGGTTGGGATGTACTGACGCAGAAGACTTGAGAGGTATTGAGGTGTTTGTCCATGTAGAGCTTTGAAAGTGATACATAGAATTTTGAAGTCAATCCGGAATTTGACAGGCAACCAGTGTAGAGACATCAGTGAAGGTGTGATATGATCTTTCATATTGCTTGTGCATGCCCCTGGTTCCTGGTTGTTTTTTTGTGGATGTCCTTTTTAACCAAACTTCACTTAGCCTGAAATTGGTGGTAGTGCTCTTTCCTCGAGCAGAACTGTAAAACCGCTCAATATGTCGCCACCAAACATGGCACATAGATTGATCTGGTGGTGTACTGGTGCCTTTTGGTAGTTTTGGAATTCTGAATCAAATATTTTGGCGCTTTCCATGGCACAAGTTCGGACTTAGACTGAAATTGGTGGTAGTGCTCTTTTCCCGAGCAGAACTCTAAAACCGCTCAATATGTCGCCACCAAACATGGCACATAGATTGATCTGGTGGTGTACTGGTGCCTTTTGGTAGTTTTGGAATTCTGAATCAAATATTTTGGCGCTTTCCATGGCAACAAGTTTGACTTAGACTGAAATTGGTGGTTGTGCTCTTTCCCAAGCAGAACTCTAACACCATTCAATATTTCTTCACCAAACTTGGCACATAGATAGATCTGGTGGTGTACTGGTGCCTTTGGTAGTTTTGGAATTCTGAATAAAATATTTTTGGCATTTCCATGTTGTTATCTCTTGTTCTAAGTACAGTGAAACCTGCCAACACCGGCACCTGTCTAATCCAGCACACTGTCAAAACCGGCATAAAATTTTGGTCCCGCCATTTTACAACGATGTTATGATCATTAAAACATTGTCTAATCCGGCACCTGTCTATTCCGTATTCTGGCTCGACTTTCCAGTCCCAACAAGCAATTTTAGCTGTAATGAACACTGTCTAAACTGGCATGGTTATTGGTCCAATCAAGGGCCCATAATCCAATACACTAATTAATCCTCTTGGCACGCTAGATAATCAGGAAGTAGAGATTGCGCGGTGAATCAAACGTTCTAAGCTGGCATGGTCCAATCAAGGTCCCTTAATGCAATACACTCCTCTCGGCATGCTAGATTGAGAGATTGACGAGTGTAAATGGCAGCCATGTTGGAAAATGATCGTCACTGTCTAATCCGGCACCCTGTCTAAACTGGCATTTTATTTCAGTCCCTTGGGGTGCCGGTTTAGACAGGTTTCTCTGTACATGTTTCAGTTGTGCTAGGTGCATATGTCTCCTGCAACTATTCAGTGCAGGTCTCGGTCACAGTCAGGATGAGGGTGTCATAGCAGGTTGATGTGTCTTGTCCATTGCTGTGAGATATTCATGCTCAGGTCCTACAGATGTGTCTCTGAAGGAGGTAATAAGAGCACCCTGATTGGGCTGGATTTCTGTACACATGACAGGAGGTTATTGTTGACAGTGTCAACAGGGCATCACAGGGTGGTATAACGAGGCAGTCACATGCTATAATGAAGGGGTATTCCAGTTGTGATTGATCCCATCATCATATTAGATAAGAAGGTGAGCTACAAACCCAGTGGCTCGATGAGTGTCATGTATGCTCCGTCAGGTGAAGACAAGTAGATTGATATACCAATTTCCTGTATATATACCTCACTCACTCACTCACTCACTCACTCACTCACTCACTCACTCACTCACTCACTCACTCACTCACTCACTCACTCACTCACTCACTCACTCACTCACTCACTCACTCACTCACTCACTCACTCACTCACTCACTCACTCACTCTCACTCACTCACTCAAGACTGTATATGACACTTGAGACAGATGCCTATTTATTTGATGCCATGCCCCGAGATATAAGATACACGATATATGAAACATGAACACCAGGGCCTATATTTTCGAAGCTCTCTTAGCACTAAGATAGTTGTAAGGTAATGTTAATGTATGGCACTTACAACTATCTTAGCACTAAGAGAGCTTCGAAAATCTAGGCCCAGGGTTTTAGTTGAGTCCTTGAGATACTCTGAGTTGTATTTTACTTTGCAATTGCACACCCACTGTCTGTCTGTCTGGTGGAGGGGGATGTGACCTCTCAGAGTTACCACTGGACCAACAACTTATGAAGCATAATGTATTTGTGAACTCTTTCATAAGATTTCCTTGGTTGGGAATAAGTGTTCATAAGTGAAGGAAAACACCATTGCATGGCCAGTAAACATCTGCTTCCATGGCAACTAAACTTGACTCAACCATACATGTTCTGTATCACATGGGACTCGCTGTTTGTATGATTTGTGTCTTTTTCAGTTTGCGTACCAGCTGTGTAATAGTAAACAATCAAGAGTAGACCAGACAATACAGTGACTCACTTCATCAGCTTCAGACAACTCATATTTCTTGTCAGGATATGATGACCTGAATCAAACAAGACAGCAAGCCAAACCACCCGATCCTGTTAGTCACCTCTTACAACAAGCATGGGTTGAGGAGGATCAATTCTAAGTTGGATCTTCACAGGGCACACGCATGGGTAGTCTGTCTCACAATCCCTGAACCACATTATTTTTCTTACTGCCCAGCCCTCCCTGTAATGTAAAGCCCTACATGAAGCAAGTCTAGATTTCCCCAGCTTGAATCTCCCATCTCACTGAAGCTCCTAATTTAAATGGGTTTATTTGTTACTATCAAAATTACATATATTCAGAGACTAGGCGTTAGTCTAAAGCATTGGTTGCTGAAGACCAGTTCTAGGCAGGTCTTCACAGATGACAAGCATGGGTTACTGAAGGCCAATTCAAGGCTTGATCTTCACAGGGAAGAGATTGGGTTACTGAAA